CCAACCTAATAGCAATGGCCTCCAACCTAATAGCAATGGCCTCCAACCTAATAGCAATTTCCTCCAACCTAATAGGGATGGCCTCCAACCTGTTGGATGATCTGGATGGATTTGTGCAAAGTGTTGAGGTCCACGGTTTTTCGGTTGGAGCTCCAGTCCTTAAATGTCGAGCGTTAAGGATGTTGCAGAGATTTCAAGAGTGTTTTGGAGGGGGCTTCTGATCATTCCAGGGGCATACTGCTGTTTAAAGTCTGTGGTCTGAAAATGATAGATAGGACATGCCTTGATTCATTGATGCATGCTTGTATAGAGTAGGCTAAGATTGGCTGAGGCTCTTGAGATATATCTTGGCCGAGATCGCTCGCACCGCAGCCACGATAGTCTTCATCGAAGCCGCCGTGCGACCATGGCTTCGCTGTGCTGGTCGCCATGGTCGCATCCAGTTTGAGTGTACCTCTGTGGAAAAGTGGATGTTTCCAGATGGGCCAAGTACTGGGTGCCTGGCTTCTCGCATCGCCAAGTGGATGTTTCCTAGGTCGACTCATTGGGTCGCCGGTCGACCGGGGGAAAGCCTCACCCGACATCCGAACAGTTCGAACCATAGGCCGAAGTCCTGAGTTCGGCAAGCAACCCGAAGTCCTGGGGCTTTTTCTCCATGGCCTGCAGTGGGGATGCCAACGTTTTTCTTGGATGTGTTGGGTGTCCCTGAAAAAGTGCCAGATCCTTTTATCCACTGTCTTCGCTCAAAAGAAGACACACGTTGGATTCACCTGTTGCTTGTCAGAAGGAAAGTTAACAAAAGGGACAAGAACGAAGGTCCTTTGCATGGGAAGAGGAAGCCTTTGGTACAAAACCCATTGTAATATTTCTAAATAGTAAAACTCAGGTTTGTTTGCCGTGTACAAAACGGGCCCTTGTTGAATCTTGTTGATCTAGTATTGTGGATATGCAAAGCCCATGCATGACTCACTATAATCGTCGTTGCTCTCAGGTAAATGTTGGCCGTCCACCTTGGGAAGCGGAGTTCGATCCAGGCTTTCAAGCAGAGCCACCTGACATTGCTCCTGAACTCTTGAAACACGCGGATCTTTGTGGTACATGTCACCACTTGGAGAATCGCATCATTACGTTGCTGGTGCTGAAGATGGAAACATGAAGATCTCACTGGGGAAGAAACGGTTTGTCCCGGTTGTGCATCATTCATCGATAGCCTTGTTGGACAAGTGAAAACACCTCGTGATCAGCACACGATCCACAAGGCAGGTTGAACCGGTCTCAATCTGGTCTTCATTCGGAGTCCATTCGGCCTTTAGGGCACCAGGTTTGCTGTTGCTGTGAAGTTTGGAGAGATCCATCATTCAACTGGGGAAGTTCATTCAGGGTGGAAGACTTTGGGCATGCCTGAACATTGAATAAGTCTCTTCTTTTTTCACACATGGGCCGTGCTCCCCCCCCCCTAGTGTTTCAGAGATGAATTTACAAGTCTTCCGATTCGGGCAGAGATGGGCAGAGTGTTTCCTTTGGAAATGGATGGAAATGGGATTCCTTGGAATTTGCTCACTTTCCGGGAGATGTTTGAAAGATTCATGCGCCAACACACACAGGCAAAGTTGCCACTGTGTATAGCTGTGTTCAGATCTTAATTTTGAACCAGATAACACTTGAAACTCCTGAAAGTACCTTGTTCAAGAGAATCAGTCCCACAAGGGCTCCCAAAAGTCTCTATCAACAGCCTCTTGGAGGTTACAGGCGTCCAACAGCCACCCCCTTTGGAACCTGGGGATAGTTCTGTTGTTTCTTTGGTCACGTTTCGCATTGGAGCTTCTCACCTTCAAAAACCTGAGGTTTGAATGCAGAGGCTGCCATAAAGCGCAGCCGGTGTGCAAGGATTGCCGGCAAAAGATCCTTCACTGTGACCTTCCGTGCTTCTTGTGCAAGCGCCAAGGTTTGCCGTCGGCCATTCCTCAGCCCTCTCACTTCCGCGACGGCGACCGCGACGGCGACCGCGACGGCGACCGCGACGGCGACCGCGACCGCCCTGCCGTGCCGCGGCGGAGCTTGGTCCTGACCGATCTCAATGGGACCCTGGGACACAGACCGCGGCAAGGAGCATCGGTGCAAGACACGGCACATCTACATGTCACTGAGCTTCCACTGGGATTTCATGGATATCCTTCGCGCTTCTACCACAGGCGCATGTTCGTTGAACGCACTGTTTTGTGTGCAAACACACGAAGATGGGTGTTCCGGCGCAGTTGGCTTCAACACAAGACCTTCCGTGGTTGAGGGGCCAAAAAACATGGGAATTTATGTTCCATTCTAAAACATGCTAAAACCAACCATCTGGGGCATTGACAACACGCTTCATGTCTTATTGATATCGCCTCGTTGAGGGTGTTGCTTACAGCTCGAAGAAGCCCTGAGGCGTCTTGCAGACGCCTTCCTGAAAGAGTTGCAGCTTCAAGAACACTGGGGGATTTGCACCAGCATGACACGATGCTTGGTTCGAGTCATTTTTGTGGCTTGAGTCATTTTTGTGGCTTGTTTGGCATAAGTCGTATCCGATGGTCATCCGAGGGTCGCCCTTTGTAGATCTTCAGCAAGTGGAGGTCAAGATGTTTGAGTCAGGTCTGAATAGATGTCGTCCTGAAGTTCGATTCTTTCAACAAATAACACCACCACCTTCCGGTGGTGCTTCGACTCTTCGTTACTTTCAACGTGATTTGCTCGATCCAGGCGACTTAGCAGTTTCTTCCGACGGCCAGTTAAGGATTCAACGCGCTTCCAATTCTGTGGGCCCTTCTGGAGAAAGTGCACCGGCATGTGGCCATCGTACCGAATGCCGAACACAGCAACAGGTTGCTGGGTGGAGAAGCTATCGCGCTGGGTCTGTGAGGTGTATAGAAATCTATTGTACTCCAATTTTTACACTCCCAAAATCACATACATGATCATACACGAACATGAATCACTGCACTGTCTCAAGGGAAAACACCATGTGCGATGAACGATGAACTGACAAGTGCGTAGTCTAACAGCAGATAAACAAAAAAAAGAATCAAAGTCAGCAATAGAATGCACTTATATACTACTACTATACTACTTAGATACTACTTGTACTTGTGTGAGACACCACTACAAACTATTCATGAAGAAGATAGGTCCCTTTCTTGGCATGGCAAGGTTTGGCACCCGTCCGGTGTGGTCGCCGGACGCCAGCTCTCCACTCCGGGCCACCGGGGATTTGACCCCCCCGCCTCTCCGCTCCCGTGGTGGACATGAAGCCTCCAAGCCCCTGAAGAAAAAGACCGTGTTGATATCACGTGGAATTCCTGTGCATCATATTCAGATATATTCAGTGTCCTCCATTTGTGCAAACCTGGGATGCCCTCCCCAGCAATCAACCGCAGCAAGGTTATATCTCCTGATCCTTGCACCGTGCAACGATCTGATGCTCGGTTCAAGAGGTCCCAACGGAGCTCCTGGTGGGAGCTCGGCTGGTGGAGCTGCCTGTGTTCGACTGTTTTGGGAGCTCGGCTGGTGGGAGACAGCCGTTGGCCATGGCAGAACGTGAAAAGCGGGGTCGCTGGGGGTCGAATTGTGCGTGGTCGTTCCTCCCGTAATCAACTCACAATCAATTGCGCTCCGCAATCTAGTAACGCTGAACATTTTGGATTGCCATCGGCCGACTGTGTGCTTGACTTGGTGTGTTTGACTAGCTATGACACAGTATTGGCTGTAGGCGGCGGCCCAGAGAGGAGCAAAGGGAGCCAGGGTTGGCTGCAAGGATGTTGCAGCGGCTTTGTCCCTGTTTGCTTGGCTGTGTGTACCTCGGCCTTTTCAACGTGCGGGATGCATTGCATTGCTAGGCTTCCTTCTGCTTCCTTTTGGCAAAAAAAAGACACTGAACATCATTCAACTTGCAAATCGATATTGCTTTCAACAGTAGGAGGACAATGAGTTTCTTCATGTTGGTTTCCGGTTTCATGACATTGCTGATTGATTTTAGTTGCCTTTTGATTCCGTTCAATTTCTTGTCAGCAGTCATCTCAGGGATGGCTTGGTGTCATTGATGCAACCACGGCGGAAACGTTTGGAATGGAAAAGATCTCTCATGCTGTCCTTAGAGAGGACGGGGCGGGGCCGGGATGAAAGTAGACGAAGGAAGAGCCGGTCATAAAACAACAGCTCGTGAAATCATGGGTCCTTTCTGTAGGTTGCCTTGGCTGCATGTTTGTTGAGGCTGTGAGAACGTCACAAGAAACGCAGACCCTTTCGGCCGTCGCAGACCTGGAGACCTTCGTAAAAGGTCCGGTTGAATGTGACTCGATCCATCTCACGTGTTGTGACTTGACGGTGTATTTTTGTTGCAAGGGCTTCTGGTCACAAGGATCTTGCGATGATTGTGATGTGGCGAGCTAGACTTTTGGGCGACCCAGCACCATGCGAAGCGAAACGACCTCACTCCATTCGGAGGTCCTTTATACAATAGGTGGTGATCCTCACGTCAGGTTAGTTATAGTACTGGTGAGACATGGTGAGTGACATGGTGCATCAGTCAGAAACTCTTCATTTGGACCAACTGTGGCTTTGCAGGCCCAGACATTTCCTAAGTTTTCTTGCTATACTATAGCTGCTAAAGCATGGTCCCAGCCAGCACGTGTTTTTCTGGGCCACTGCTGGGCGCATGCGGAAGGTTGGCCTTTGTGGCTGTCCGACAGGCGCCTGTCGGCTTTGTTCCGGGCACTTGCTAGGCCTGCTGAGTACTTCGTGTTTGGGGACACTTTTCTCATTCCGGACTGTCATGGATCAGGGGGTCCATGGCGAGAATCGCGTTCCCCAGTCAGCTTCCTCCACTTCCCAATCTTCGACCTGCTTCCAGGACTTGTCCTTCCATTTTTGAGTGGAAGTTCTTCTGGTGGTTTGATGAGTCCACCTGTCAAGACGACTTCGATGCCGAACCGCCCCTGGGACAATTCAAAGATATTCAAAGGCTTCGATGCCCAAAAAGTATGTGTTTGCATGTTTATGCTAGATGGCAGCGGTCAGAAGTACGGATGGCTCGTTGCGCCGCTCGAAACCATGCAAGATTCATCGTTCGCTTTGCTAAATCAATGCTAAGCCCGGATTAATGAATCCTGGCTCGGATCAACCAGGGGAGGTGTATTAATCCTGGCTTGACATGACTGTTTCATGGACCATGATGGATGAATGTGTGTCGCGGAGGTATCGAAATGGCAACACCAAGAGCTACAGGAAGGTGTTCGACCTGGATCATATTTCACAGGCGAGCAATTTTCGGGTGAAGGAGATTCTGGTGATCTCTGGGCGTGCTGAGAAGATAAAGCGATATCCACAGCAATGCATCCAATGCTGCTTGGCGATTGGTGGATCGGGGTCATTTTGCGCTGCTCGTAGGTGCCAAGCTCTTCTTGATTTGTGCATGGCCGTGTCGCACGCTCGCATGGCCATGACCAGTTCGTCTGAGGTGAAGATTGCACTGAGAATAAGCTCCAAGACGCCCAGGAGGAAGGTACGCCAAGCAAAGCGGTCAAGCGGTTTTCAATCTGTGGGGTCGGCCAAAAACAAATCCAAACATGTCCAAACACTTCTGGGTAAGGTCCATATGGCCAGTGTCATCCCAGCCCATGACCACACGAAAGAATGCATCCTTCAAATCTTTTGTTCCTTCATACCACTTGTTCAGCTAGAAAAATGTCCCGCTGAGGCCTCAGGTGGAAGGTCATCGCTCGGTCGACACATGGAGGTCATCGACTTTGACCGATATTTGACTGCTCCTGAGGCCTCAAGCCTTTGTTAAACCTCGAGGATCTCCTGTATCGCCACAGACATCCCAGAGATGCTTCTGGAGGACGGGGCCATCGACTCAGCTCGCTCGGCCAAACATTCATGGATCAACTCAGGGAGGCGGTTCGAAGCCGTGAATCTCTGTGAATGCCCAAATCAGCGAAGCTGGTGACCGAATCTGGTAGGAGATATTTATAGTATATAATATTTTTGCAAATCATAGTTATGTTCAGTTCAGTGCTGTTCTTGACGGACACATATTCTTTTTTTTCCAGGTCACAGTGGGTTTTCATCCAAGCCTTGTTCTGATGTATCAGATGTCGTTGGCTTCAACTTGCTTTTGACATATTGAAGTGACTTTGTTCTTGCCCTACGTTTTTGATGCTACAAACGTTTGTTCAAGACAATAGGAACAAGGTGTCCCCCCGAGCAGGAGTTCATCCAAACTGGTTGAGTGCAGCTACATCTGCGAATTACGGCCCTCGAATGGCATGTCTCAATCGATGACGAGCTCAGCCTTTCAGCTCTCCAGCTCTCATCTAAGACATTTTTTAAAGATTAGTTCGAGTATCACAAAAGACATCAAAAGACTATGTCAGTGTTCCGCTGCATTCCGCGTGTCCCATGTGTGCAAGCGTGGAGCAAAAGAGAGCACTGTAATGTGTGCGGGTGCCAGGGTCAGGTTTGGCCTATTGGCTTGACAAACATGTTCATCCGCAAGCTCAATATCCTATAGCACTTAGCAGTCTTATGCCAACTTATTGCAACAGAAATTCAATGAAATTCGTGTGGTGCATTGCCTATGTATTCATCCGCACAGCGCGATCTCACCCTTCACTCCCTTTCCCATCCTTTCCCCACTACTTTCCTTGACGATCTCCACGGGACACGGCACAGGTCTTAGCCAAGCTCTCAAGGGTCCAGGCGCATTGCAGCCACCTCGAGGATCGCCTCGTCTTCCAAGAGGAGGTGCGCCTCGGGTGGCGACGCCCCGGCCAGCGACGCCCCGGCTCGTGGGCGCGGCACACGCGTTCCGCGCGCTAGCCGCTAGTGATGCCCTGGAGGGTTCTTGGGGGGCGGAATGGGTGGGCAGGGAGGACAGTGAGGTGGGATCAGGTGGTTTGGGTCAGGTGTAGAAGGGAAAGTTGATTGGGGAGGAAACAAGAGTTCTGGGAGGTTTTGACCTGTCCATTAGGACGGCCCTGTTGAGGGGTCAAACACGCCATTGAGACAGCCCTTCCTCCCATTGATGGTGACCGTTGTTGAGACTCTTTTAATCTGTTGTACTATTATATTATAGTATTATATATTAATATATATATACATCTCAAATCCACAGTTTGGTTGCTTCTTGGAGCCTTTGGAGCCTCGGGTCATGCATAGTCATGCAGATGTTTCTTCATATTCCATCAGATTCCCACACCCTCACTCTTCTGGTTTTACATTCATTTTGTTATTCTTTTCGAGTCTTCCTCCCTTTCCAGGCGACCGCGGCTGCAGAACGACGTGCCAAGGAGGCGGAAGACAAGGCGCCGATCGCACCCAGGGCCTCAGGGGCGGGGATCAGACACCTTGAGTCGCGGCTTGAAGCATTGTTTATGTTGGCCCAAAAAGATCATATATACAAAATATATTTACACACTTCTTTTCCCCTATTAAAATTACTAAACCCTTCATTCATCTAGTATTAATCCCCTCCAAACGTGTCTTGGAATTGGAACCCATTTGGTTTAAGCTGAGGACCTCTTAGAGAAGCGACACAAAGTGTGAATGGCCTTCAGAACTTTGGTTTTCTCGGACTCAAAGCCCTTCATGAGTCCACTGGGACCGCTAGTGCGAGAGCTGCCTGGGTATGACTGAATTGGCTGCCCTGGGTCGAGAGAACCAGCGGATGGCTACTCTGTTCCCAAGCATGACAATGAGGGAGCAAACAGAAGTTGGTCAATTCCGGTGAGATGATCAGCGAATCGAGGAAGTCTTGAGACTTGTTGATACAGCTAGGCTCAACTCAACACCAGGTCTTTCTTCCAAACACTAGGGGCAGTGGTCACACTTGGGTGCGCATCCACGTGCGAGTGCGTGGCGCCAAATCCAGGAGCAGCAGCTTTGCATCCTAGTGACAGCAAAGGCCTTGGCACGCCAGGCCTGGAGTGGTGCCACCTCAGCTTGGTGGCATTCAAACTGCCGGGATTGCAATTTGTAGATAAGCGGATCAATGGACATGCTGCGGTGAACAATCAACCCGACTTCGGGGCAAATATAATGCATACAGCTCCTGTGTCATGTGCAGTCCATTGGAAATAATGTTTTGATTGAACATTAGAACTGTTGGAGCAGAAAGCCCTTGCAAAAATGCGTACATCAGGTGCTGCCCCCACTGGGAAACAGGTCGAACACCTTCATTTTGAACACACTTAAACAATCTTAAACATTTACTGTTCTTTGCCACCAGCATCATCACTATGCTGTTGCAAGGCAGGTGCAGAGTCCAACGATACAGCATAGTTTTCATGTTTGTGTATGCTGGAACATGTCCACAAAGAGGCCTGAGGCAAGTTTAATTCTACTTCATCGAACACAGTCTCAAATTAAGGAAAACACGTTCCTCCAGCGGAAGGAAGGACTAGCACTTGGTCCTTGGTCGTCCCCAGAAGCCCAACTCCCCCTTGGTAGGTGCGGCAACGTGATCGCATGGCCCAAACCCTGTTGGCATGCGAGCAGAACGATGAGGAGCAGTGGAGGCCTGCAATGAAATTAAAAAGAACAAACACATCATTCTGGGACGCATACCCCAATGTGTGGGACTTAGAAGACTGAAAAGCATTTTGAGCAGATGCTTGCAGATGATCATGTTTGACCATGTCATGTCTTGCTTCCACACCCATTTTCCCGTTGAAACGGCACTTCCCAAGCTTGAAGACGAGAGTCGTGAAGGTCAGACTCGACACGTCACCGCATCCGGTGTTTCTTTCTGCATCGACATACGTTTCTTGCGCGCGGAAAGTACATGTTGCTTCCGTAGCCCGGGGTTTTGGGATCAACATCAGGCGTTCTTCCTGCATCGACACCAGGAGGGGACTGTGGAACCATGAGGGACTCCCCTTTGGTTTGAGGAAAGACGCATGAAGCGCATTGAAGCCAGCCCTTTCGAGCAGAGCCTGGCCCCGATCCCATGAGGCTTTCGGTGGATGGTGGTCCAGCAGATCTTCAGTCCGGGGTTCCCATGGCTGGCTCGGTGCGTTTTTGACGATGGCTCGGTGGCTGGGAGCGTTTCGACATGCCTTCAATGGGTGTGTATTTTTTGTAGGGAGACTGCCCAACCAATGGGTTTTGGCAGTGGTTTGGTTTATTCTTCTTCCAGGGGGTCGAACTGAGAGGTCTCCGTCGCACCGATGCTGCTACCCACCACCGCACCGGGCACACATCGTGGCACTCAGGTCGGTCGTGCAGAGCGACACGACAACCTTAGCTGCTCAATACTTGGCAGATGTGAGGCGCGGCCTAGGGCGGTGAGTGAGATGAGATGTGTGGGGTAGTCCTGCAGGTCGGTTCACCTTTGGGATTTTCTCAATCTCTCAGAGAAGTTCACAAGCTGATCAGAGTTCGATTCTTGCAAGATCTGCCCTGGCCGGGCCTGAATTCGAAGGTGTTGGTACCAGAAAAAGGGGGAGGGAGAGTGTAAACCTGGTGGAATCGGCCCAACATGGGCCCATCTCAAGCTAAACTTCTTCACTTTGGGACAGGGTCGCCACAACAGAAAAGGTCAAGCTGACTTGAAGTGGGTGATGGTCTCAGCATGAGGAAGGCTTCCCCAAACACCCAGCAGGTTTGGGCGTTCAAGAAGAGCAACTCTTTCATGAAAAGATCAAAGAACTGTTCTCATGGCCTTGCAAGCACCTGTCTCTCTGGTCTACCTTTTTGGCCACGTGCACTGCCACTCCACGGACCCACCAGGGACGATGAGGACCTGCAGGCGAGACACCGCCCGGACCGGTCTCTCGGGCGGCGTCTCGGACGGTTTGGGGCGGCTGCGCGTCGGGGTTTGACATGGATCGAAGAATTCCTGGTTCATCTATATATATATATATTGTTGGTGTTGGGACATGGTCGTGTTCCCTTGGTAACAAGCTGCAAA